ACACATTTAGAAGTCCTCACAATACGAAATGAGCTTGAAATTTAGCTTCTAATTGGTTTTTAACAATTGCTGAGCACAATCTTGTTATTCTTCTAAGGATTACGAACACAGTTAAAGGAAAATTGATTGGTATTACGAAATTCCTCAAGGTTGTATTTACTGCCTCGAGTACAAATCTAACATGTTTTCGCTTCGCTCTAGACTATGATAAACATTCCGATAGTACAAAGCAAAGCACTTACCTACTCCTATAATCAGAGTATTAAAAACTAGTGGTTAGGTGGCGCTTGCTTTAGCGCGACAGTCAAAAACTGCGCCCTTGTTGTCATATTTCAAATAGTAAAATCTATACCAACTAGGATAAAATTAGATTCTCTTTAGGGATACAAAAGGATTCTAATTTTTTTGAAAATAATTTACCCAGTAGCTACTGGCTAACCAGAAAGTTTTTTCGTTCTCTTTGCACCTCTGACTGATCGCAAATTGTTGGAATGACCGTCAGTTGCCAAGACAAGTTGTTGTTTGATAATTTTATTTTAAATCAGAGTTATATTTCCGTTATCCAAATTTGCACGTCCGTCACGTTTACTAACAATTTTTGGGCTACTCCTGAAACTTCCTATTGCTAAACTTTTAGTTAATATAAAACTTTTAAATGTGTAGCACACGGTTGCAGTATTCTCGAAAAAACTGTAGTTTATACAGAGCAGTGGGTGGGCCGCTCGCCACACTTAGCTTCCTTTATTTTAGCGCAAAAGCTAAGATTCTTTTTTGGCTAAATCTTGAACCTTCGCACTATCCGTAAAACAGTATCGCGCAAACGCAAGTTTTCTCGTTTTCGGCGGATTTTGAGGCCTGTCTAAGCCAAATTGCAAGTGTGCTTCGAAGAGACCTCAGCAGTCAGAATGGAATCAAAATCATAATTGTTAAGAGTATTCAAGTGCTCAAAGTGACTGGGTACAACGTTTTAGGTTATAGGCAGGTGGTCTCGACGGATTCACCACTGACATTTTCAGCACATCGTATGGAATTGCATCTGTACTGGAATGCACCATCGAGATGTGAATTTGACTAATCTTCGTTAACGACCCTACCCTTTACAATTTTTCCACATTCCCAAACAATCTAGTCATAACTGGCCTTTCAAGTTTATGTGAGACAAGGTGTGTTGATTAAGAAGTATAAAAGCATCGGATAAAAATACGAAAAAGGTTTTGTAAATATGTTGTGTGGTTACAGTCTGATTTAGTCCTTATTTGCACCATTATTCGGACCTATGGGACTGTTTCAACTAAGAAACGGTTTTCCTAACAATTTTTTCATTCAAATTCTGGACTTGA